TTTGGTGGAGATGAACGGACTGACAACCAGGGCACAGGGTGATGGAGAGAGAGACATACCCCGTATTTATCTGGTGGGTGTGTCTCTGGCCTCATTTCTTCATGCACTGTCCCCAAAAGAGGCTGAAAAGGAGACTTTTAACAGGAGAAAGAAGAGACCCTATCTCTACCAGATTTCAAGTTGAGGATAGGGTTCCCTCTACAGTCAGGTAATGGGCATGGGTGAAAGGACCCTTCGTGTGCCTGAGTCTGCCATATGTGCTAGGGCACAGGTGTCTGCACCCACACCAGACAGAACTTTTAGGGTTGCAGGTGTGCTGGTGGATCTGGGTCACAGTGTGCTGGAACATTATGTGGCTATGGTTTGTTCTCTGGTTAGCTCCCTATGGTTGAGGGCAGTGCATTCATTGACTCTTGCGTGGGTGTCCCCGTGTGTGTCCGTGTGTCTGGGTGTGTGTGTGTGTGGCTGCTTTTTTCCTGGCCTTGATTGGAGGATGAAGTCAGTATCTTGGACAGAGCTGGGCTCAGCTTCCTTCCTCTGTCTTGATGTGAAGTCCCACAGCCAAGAGTAGGTAGCAGCTCCCCCAGGATCTTGGGAGTGGGGAGGGGGAAAGCAGGTAAGATGGTGAGGGTCTTAAATGGCATTACACTGGGAGAGACCAGATGCAATGTGGATTTGCTTTGATTTGGAGGGGAATTCCTTCTGGTTTTATTAAAGATTACCAGTGGTTCTTTGGTAGAAACACGTGCAATATCCTTCAGGGTGATTTACAGCATCTGGAGCCCTCCTGGGTTGGTCATCTATGAGTTGGTTCTGACTCAACAGCACCTAACAACAGCATGATCACTTTATGTACACTTGGTCCAGGCAAGGAGACACTTGTATCCTGGGGTGGAACAAAAGCCAGAAATAAGGCCACAGAAGCCCGCTCCTGAAGGTGGAAGTGAGTGCTGGAGGGAGTGCATGATTCTAGATGTTCACTGTTTACAGGGAATTTGAAGAAACCACTGGAAGCTTGATGGGCATGATTCCAGGTTCTGTCCATAATCTTGATTCATCTCAGTGGTTTCACACTTTTTCAGGGGCTCATTCTCAGGGATTGCACAGAATACTCAATAAACATGCGTCAATTTTAAACTGTGGAAGGGTTGGGAGAGAAGAATGAGGGGTCAAGTGCCTGATAGGGAGCCATATGCATAAAGGCAGGGAACTCCAGTGGTCGGAGCTGGTGGGCCACAGTGGGTTGTCCCGGTGGGGACAGGAAAGTTAGGGGATTGTTGAGAACTGCCCATGTGCACCAGCTATTCTCTGAAGCTTCAGTCCAGCTGTCTATCTGCAGCTCCAAGCTTTCCTTGAATGATCCTCCAGATTCCTTTCCTGACCTCAGGAGGATAAGAGATAAAAGACACAGGGAAAAAGCAATGGGAATGATGAGGGGTAGGGAAAGGAAGACATGTAAGAGTAAGGGCAATTAAGGGCAAAGGACCTGAAGGACCGAGAGAAAGGAATGAAAAGAGGCCAGAGACCGTGATCCAAGAAAGCAGTCCCAGAGAGAGGAAAAGATAGAAAACATTTGCACTGGGCTTCCGTTTATAAAGCACTTTCCTTCAGGGTGTAGCATTTTACTAGCCCCTACTTGGTGGCTGAGGAAGTAAGACTTAGAGACCTTAAGTGACTTGTCCATGGGACTTTGCCAGTAGTGTCGAAGGTGGCCTCAATCAGATTGACTTGTTCCAGAGCTCACCCAACAACTGCCCAGGGAAAAGGTAGTATTACAAACTTGGGGCAGAAACAAAATGAAGTGGTTTCTTGAAGGATTTGTCTGAGAGGGTGGGGAATCTGGATTTTTGAAATTTCTTTCTGCATTCAGTCATTACACAGATTTAGTTAGAGGAAATTGCCAAGTGCAAGAGACAAGGGAGGGGGCAATGTGCTGTTAGCAATCACTGAGGAGGGGGATGAAGGAGGGGAACGTGTGGATAAAGGATTGGACCTAAGATCAAAGATGGAAGAAGTCTAAGTGACTAGGATTGAAGGGGGGCAAGGGAACCATAGAAAGGCCGCGTTAGACCCTTAAAACTTCATTTGCCTCGAGACATGGGTGTGGGGAAAAGGGAGGAGGGAGGACATTTCTATCTCGTGACAAAAGAAAGTCACACAATTGTTTTGTTCTCTCCTCTGGGGCGGGTGGGCGCCTGTATTTACCAGAGGGACTGAGGTCGCTGTGGCAACCACACATCTGGGCCCCGGAATCCAGATGTGCTGTATCCAGAAGCCATAGCAGAACGATGAGGCAAACATTAGGCTCCCCAGTGCTGGCCCCTACAGCTGGGAAGAGGACAGAGGATTGAAGTGAGGAAATAGAGGGGGTGGGGGAGGAAAAAGGATGAGAAGAATAAAGCAAGGGGAAAGACAGGAAGCAATGGAGAGAGACAAGGAAAGTGGGCAGGATGGCATCAAAAAGGGAAGAGGTGAGCCCAGAGTCAGCAGCAGGACATGAGAAGACTGCAAAGAAAAAAATACAGTAAAGCAAAGGAGGAGAAAAGAGGAAAGTATAAAAGAAGAAACCAATAAAATAAAGAGTAAAAAAACCCCAAAACCACCACCTCCACTGTTTTGAAAGTAAATTCCGATTCAGAGTGAAAAAGCTGCCCTACTAGTGTTACAAATCTTTAAGGAACAAGACTGCTACAACCTTCTCTTGCAGGGCAACTGGTGAGTGCTTAATCACTATACATACCTTCAGAGCCTCTTGCACAAAAAAGAAAGGGTCATAAAGAGAGCTTTTAAATTATACTGAATGTGAGGGCCAAAGACAAGAAATATTAGAGGAAAAATGAGAACAGAGAGCAGGTGGTGACACAAGGAACACAGGACATGAAGAATAGGAATCCCAGGTTAGAGAAGTCAGTGAGGCATCGGATAGTGGTCTGGACTGTTGAGGTGGCTTTGGACGTGGTGGCGCGGCCTTAGAATGGAAATCCACATGGTCCCGCAGGGCAGCATCCCAGAACCTGGTTTGTCTTATCCCATGATGTAGATACCTACTCACCAAATGCACCGCAAAGCTCTGGTGGCTCAGCAGTAAAGAACTGCACTGCCAGCACAAAGTATACAGTTTGAATCCACCTGCTGCTCCATGAGAGGAAGGTGGGTAATCTCCTGTAGGCGATTTACTGTCTCTTAAAACCCCCGAGGGTCAGCTTTAGGGCCAACTCAGTGCTACCAACAATGCTCCTTCTCACCACTCCACTTCCTCAACCAAGAGAGGCCAAGCTTTTAATTCACACCCAAGTACTAACTGCCCCTTGGCAGAGGTAGGACCAACCCCAATCCCAGAGCCCCTAGTCTGACTGAGATGCCAGCACTTTAAACTCTTTTCTGAAAGGAGGTCAAGAAGTCATGAGACCCAGAAGGGATCAAAACAGGAGAAAAAAGGCATAGTGAACAGGAAAAGGAGGAAGGCATAAGGAAAGGTGTGTCTACCATGGAGCAGGCACTGTAAATATTATATCCTTTACCATGTTTGCACTAAGACCAAGTTGCCCATTTTATAGATGAGGAAACTTGAGATTTACAGGATTTGTTATGCATAAAGAACATTCACTAATAAATGCGGAGGCAGAGAATCCTGCTCAGGCGATGTCACCAAAATCCTTGTTCTTCGTGCATGGCACTGTTTGGATAAGGCTGGGATCCACCCCAGGGACTCTGGGACAGGAAGCGCCTGAGCAGCCAGAGCTGCCCTCTGGAGGGAGGAGAGACCTAGTTCCTGGGAGCCCCAGTTCCAGGTTGCCATAGTGAGTTGGTCTGTTTTCACCCCAAACAGAGTCATGGGCTTGGGGAGAGCCTGGCTAGACACGTGAGGGCCTTCCCTCCTCCTTCAGACTGGGCTTAAGGCCCGGGAGGCCCCTGTCCAGTCATCTGGGCGCTGAGCCCAGGGGCAGCCAACACCCTCCAGCTGACCCAGGACACTCCTGCAAGGTCAGGCCTGAGGCACTGTGGCCAGGCATCCCTGCAGGTTAGACCCCTTACTCTGTCAGAAATGCGCAGTTCTGCCAGATCTCCTCATGCCCTTTCAACTGAACTCTCAGGTCTCTCTTCTAGCTCAGAAAGAGGGTGCCCCCAACATCCCTTTTCCCTGCCCATTAACCCCCTTCTCCACTGTGGTCCCCTTCCTGTGCTGAGGGCCATTTGGCCCATTCCTCTTCTTGTTTGAGCACCTCACCCTGGAAAGTTAGGGGGAAATCTGCTAGAGAGCAGAGGACTCAGAAAGGTTGTTCACCCTCAAGGGTGTGGGGCCCCCTGTCCTGTTTACTCAGACACATTCCAAAGATCTGTATCTTCTGGCCTGTCACACCCTGAGACACCGCCCCCTGCCCATGATCCATGATTCCCGGGCAGACAATACTCATTCCAGGGGTGGGTGCAAGATGACATGAGGTCTGTGATCCCACACCCACCCCACCGCTTAACCAGCTGTCTTCGGTGCTTCTTTCTTTGATGTTAGTTCCTATAAAAGCTACTTTCCCCTAAAATTCCCAATCCGTCAGGAAGGCAGCCTTCAACTCCCTCCAAGTTGTTTATTTAATAATAAAAAAGAAGGTATGCACACACATAAACCTGATCTCCCCACCGCCCCCTCCTTTATGCCCAGTAACTAACTCTGAATTGTAAAACTTCCCTTGTCCCACCTGGGGACTCAGTTCCCAGCCCTCAGACAAATAAGACCCACAGAGAATTAAGGGCCCACCCCCTTCAGCTCAGGTAATGCCCGCAGAGGAGGAAACAGGGATGGAGGTCTACAGAAATGAGAGGACCCCGATGTCGTGAGAGAGGTGAATTCTCCCACCTCCAGAGAAGTGCTTGACCACCCCCAAAACCTCAACTTTCCTTGATTGATTGCCCCAAGCACAGGGAGCAGGGAAATGAGCAACATTCCCACTGGATCACCCTTAGTCCCTGCTCCCCCAATATGAAGTCAGTGTGAGTTGCTGAGGTCAGGGATGATTGAGGTAGAAGGGTTGGTGGGAGGCCTGGTGGGCCTGGCTGGCGGCAGGAGCTGGCAAGGGGCCCCCTGTGGTGTTGTCAGGGGTTGGGGACGGCTGTTTTCGGAGTGAGGGGGGCACCGTGGAGGTCTTGATATGAATCACCCTGGTATCCATGACCTCGCACTCGATCTGCATCATCTCCTCATAGTCCCCAGGGGGACCTCGGCCTGACAGAGTTTCTGTGAGAAGAGGAAAGCCAAGGGAGAAGAGGAGGAGCCAGGAAGACAGGGTGAATGGGGAGGAAAAGGAAGGGTGAGGAGGAGGCAGCTCCACGTTGGGAGTGGAAGGGGGTGACAGGGATGGGTTTGGTACAGTGAGCAGGAAAGGGGTAGGAAAAAAAGAACATTGAAGAGTGGGATCATATAGGTGAGGAAATTAAGAGAAAAAAAGAAAGTGAGAGTCTGGCAGGTTTCCAGGCCACCCCTCTCTGCCCAGCCACAAGTCCCTGGCCAAATAAAGACCAGAACCATCGTAGTCTCCCATTTAAAACAAAACAAACAAACAAACAAACACAAAAATCCTTTAGATTAGCTTTAGGTTGGCAGTTCAATTCTCTGCTGCCTAGGCCATTCAAAAAAATCTCCTGAATTCTGTTATTTTCTTCACATGTTTCTTACCAATCACTGGGATGTCTACCTTCTCCCTAGCTCCCCCTCAGCTCCCCTTGCTGGACTGATCTCCCCTGGGCTTTCCCCTTTCTTGATCTGAAGACAACTCCTGACTTTGCAGGGAACAAATTACCATTAGGGGCCATGGCAGGCATCACCAGGGACATCTTAGGCCGGGACGTCTTATTGTGGCTGATGGCTGGGAGCAGTAAATGGTCCTACAAAAGAAAGGGGCCAGGCTGGGGATAGAGAGAAAGAAGCTAACAAGCTCACAGTCCTGTTCTACATCTTTCTACACCTGAAGGCAGCCTGGTGGGCAACCCAGAGTGATGATGCTAGGGTGGGGAGGAAGACTCACCCTTCGGAAGGAGACAACATAAAATGTGTCTTCCCGTCGGTCAATTGCATCTAGGAACTCTGGCTGGGAACGGTCCGGGTGGCGATAGAGCTGCAGCTGGCCCACAAAGCCCCTAGGCAGGTGGGAAATGGGATTTAGGAAGATCTAAGCACCTAACAACAACAAAGCCCAGGAACCAGTTCTCACTAGAGGCCAGGGAAGAGGATAAGAGAAGAACAGACAGGAGGTCCTAAAGGATAAGGGCGCATAACTCCACAGGTAGAATGATGGCAGCGCAGGACAGCTCCTGGGGGCACATCTTCCAAAGTGAACCTTCACTTCATTAGAAAGCACCCACTTCTGTACTCACCCTTCTGGAGGTCCTGGTGGCCAGGTGGGGACTGGCTTAACTGGAGGTGACTTCTTCCGTAGCTGAGGCTTCTGGAAGGAGAAGTATGTAAGGATTTGGAGTTGGGGAAGGGAGAAGGGAAAGACAGACGACGGCCCCTGGAAGCGGATGCTACCTCATACCCACCCTTCACCAAATAATCCCTCCTACCTCCAGACCAACACCCCCTCTAAATCTCCAGGACACTTACCCTCTATCTTCTTTCATGTGGTCATCCTTGTGGCCCCAGCCTCCTTACCTGTCTCTCCTGGGCCTTCTGAGGGATTTTCCGCCGGCCTCTCTGGTGGCGCTGGACCCAGCCACTCAACTCATCAGCAAGCCTGGGGAAGCAGAGGGGGTTTAAGGTCACCATGCCAAGTTAGGACTCCCTCTCTCCTTGTGCACAAACAGGAGTGAGACGGGAGGGCAATAATAGCTTCAGCACACGAGGACAAGTAGGCCTCAGGGAGGGCAGGAGGGAGCTTAGTCTAGACATAAATCCCCCACACCTCAGGGACTCAGTGCGGTTAAAGTGCCGACAATCAGAGGAGAGAAAGAGCTGGTCCAAATCTCTCAGTAGTAGGTCCTTGGCACCTCCGGGGAAGGCTGTCAGATTCCTGGAGTGAGGCAAGAAGAGGCAGAGGCAACAACTGGACCGCTAGCACAGCCCCGTGACAGAGAACAAAGCGATGACAGAACATTGTGGGGCCAGCCCCACCAAAAGAAAGGGCAGTTTTTGAGAAGACTCTGCCAGAGAGAAAAGCCCTTCGTGCCTCACCTGAAACTGGATCGGCTTACAGGCCTGAGCTGGGGTTCCTCAGGCCCCTGGGACGACTCCTGGAGGGGAGTGACTCTATCAACTGGCTCTTGCTCTGAGAACTCCAGCAGGTGCCTCCGGGGCCGAGGTTCTTCTCCGCTCCCTTGAGGTGAGGCTGGAGCCGAGGGAGGCTCACTGATGCTGTGGATGAGAAAGGACAGAGTGTGAGGAAGAATCCCTGCTTTAGTGAGCGTCTGTGTAAGAACGAGGACTCCACAGATAGGCTGCTTGGGCTCCAATCTCTTCATCTGTAAATACGGATATGAGAACATAGCAGCATTTCCTCCCTGACCTCTTTTATGAGAGAAATAAATGATGGACCCCAAGAAGGGGCTGGCAGGAGACACCACTGATGCCAAGGCCACCACAGCAGGAGACACCAATGGTGCTAGGCCACCACAGTGTCTGTGAGTGAATAGACTAAGACTCGCTAAAGCAGGAGGCTACAAAGGAGGCTCTACCACACAGAAGGTTCAGAGAGGGTGGGCAGTGGCTCACCTGACAGGTCCAAAGTTGAAGGCAATGAAGAGGAGGAAGACCATGATGCAGACCACCTTCCTGTTTCCAGACCCTAACTTGAGCTCACTGTTCTAAGGTGCAGAGAGAGAGAAACAGGAAGATGGGACATCCTAAGGAGCAGTGTTGCTGTGGGCACCCCACGCACAGGCCAGTCTTACCTTAGCCAGCAGGGCCTCAAGCTGCCTGCGGAGGGCAGCATTCTCCCTGCGCAGCTGCTGGTTGTCGGTGAGCACCGCCTGCAACTTTGCCTCCAGTCCCTGAAGATATTCCTTCTTCTTTCTGCGGGATTGGCAGGCTGACTCCCGGTTCTTAATCATCCGCTGCTGCCGCTTCAGCAACTTTGCCTTGTCACCCAAAGGGTCATAAAAGAGAATGAAAGATGTGTGAGCTTTATTTGGGGGATTGACCACCTAAAGCTAAGCTAATACAGGCCTTTCCTCTGCCTTACCAACCCCTACATACATAGCCAGAGAAAGGGGTTCCCCCCCCTCCACGAAAGCATTTCCAAAAGTCTTTCTCTCAGTCACTCCCTGTGCCTGTTCCTCAAAGCTGAGAAAAGTTAAACTGCAGGAGGAAATTCTTCCATCCCGGTGGAACCTTGGTTCTTTTCACTGATGAGTCTTTCTTTTCAAGTCTCCTTTGGTTCAGTTTAACCTTACTAAAATTAAAAATGGGCATTCTAGTGGTGAAGTCCATAATGAGTTCTGCTGCTGACCCAAAGGCTGTGTGTCTTTGGTGGTTGGAACCCACTGAAGTTCTGGGGAGAAAGATGGGCAGTCTCCTCCTGTTGCAGTTTACAGCCTTGGAAACCCGATGGAAGGCTCCTATGCATTAGGACCAACTCAACAGCAGTAGGTCTGATAGTTAAAGTACATTTTAATAGTTTTCCTCTAGAAAGTAGCCTCCCCACAACTACTGCCACAACTTTAACAGTGTGACTTCCCTGCTCTTCACTTTATGCTCCTGAACTCAGTAACCTTCCCCCCCTCCCCAATTCTCTCTCATGATGGACTTCTCTTTCTATTACTAACTCTACATGTCTCCTCCTCAATAATTACATCCACTTCCGGTGGGCAGGAGTTCCCAGGCATAGGAGCTGGAACAATGCTCTTCCTCTCTGGCCGTGGGGCAGGGGGTGTCGGCCCCTCAGGCTGGACTCGAATAGCACCCTGGATAAGGACAACTGGGGACACTGCAGCAACAAGGCAGGAGATGGAGGGCAGAGAGCCAGAAGTCAGGTGTGGCTCTTATGTCCACAGCTACGCCTGAGCCCCCAAAACTGGAAACCTCAGAAGCTATGAGCTCCTTAAAGAAGGCCTATCCAACCCATCTCCTTCTTCAGTACCTGGGGGTGGCTGGACGAGGTGCTGCAGAAGGACAGTGGTGCTAGGAGGCACGGCTCTGGGTGGCAGTGGGACAGTGGTTATCATTATGGGCTTGGGCTGCAGAGGTGGCTTCCGGGTGGGCAAGGCTTTGCCTGCAGGAAAGTGAGAGAAGGAAAAAAGGATTATCAGAACTACAGGCCTTTTGTCAGGGACCCCAGGTGTCAGGAGGCCCCATTACCTGAGAAGCCTTCAGAGGATGGGCCCATGCTGATCTGCACAGCTCCAAATGGGGGACTTGGGGCATCTTGTAGGAGGCAACCTGGAGGTGCTGGGGATTCTGTCTTCACTTCCAGGACCTCCTCTCCTATGAGGGCCTATGTGTGACATTCCAGAGAGATGTTAGGAGTGCCAACTAGAGGAGCTAAAGAAGATAAAACTCTTGCACCCGAGAGTCACTGGGGTGGTGCCTGGTGGAAAGAAGGGAAGCTGACGTTCACCTGGTTAGGAGACTCTGCTGAGAGTAGAGAAGTCTCAGAGTTGATGGAGGAAGAAGGAGAGACAGGTTCTATCTTGGTCTGTACATCTGTGGATGGGGGAAAGCAGCATAAAACAAACTTGAGTATCAGATAAACACTGAAGAAAAGGAGAGTTGAGAGAACGAGACCATCCTTTCTCTATAAATGACTCTTTACTATTATTAAGCCTACTCTTTTCTCCACTACTGATAACCACCTTACATGGCCTAGAGTTTAAAATAGCTAAAATTATTCTGGCCCAAGGCAGGAAAGTCTGAAAAAAAAAAAAAAAGGCATGAAGCAGCTTATCGGCTGGCTTTCCTTTTCTTTGCCTGATGCTTTCCTTTCTCTTTCAACAGCTCCTCTCATTTTCCCCATCGCTGCTCAATTTCCCTCAGGCTGTCATAGCCACAGCCTTTTGCTCATTTTTCTCTTGCTCAGTGATCTAGTCCAATCATATAGAGGAGGTCCAAGAACAATCTCCAGAATTCACATGGGCCCAATTCCTATTTGGTTGAATTTCTATCTTATCTTTAGAGATCAGACTATGTTCCTATAAAAGGTATGTTAGGGAGCTCTGATGGCCTAGTGGCAAGGAGCTGTGCCATCAACCTGAAGGCACAAGGTTCAAATCCACCAGCTGCTCTGCAGGAGAAAGATGAGCAATTTCCTTCTGTGTGATTATAATGTCTCTGAAACTCAATGGAGGGTCAGCCATGAATCTGTTTTAGCTCAATGGTACATAACAAAAACAAAATAAACATTAAAAGTCTTTAACTCCATGTTCCTCCTTGTTTGAGAAAATAGGGTCTCCTTTTGTTATCAGCTGGGTCAAAAGACATACAGGTGGGTCCCAATTCTAATTCCTTCTGAGTAGTGTCTTATAACAAGAGAGTGGCAGACAAGGGGAATATAAATAACACAGGACAAGAGGCAGATGCATCTGTCAGAAGCAAAGAAAAAAAGGACTGTCAGAGTCCTGAGAAACTAGAAGAGCCCACAAAAGGAGCTGCAATAGCTGAGACCTTAATTTGGACTTCTAGCTTCCAGAACTTTATTCTTTAAAGCATCCACTTTGTGGTGTTTTGTTATGGCAGCTCTAGGACACTAAGACACCGTCCTTCTTCATCCTTGACTGCCCACCTGTGCTCTGCCCAGTGCCCACACTGTCTGCGGCACACTCGCACTTACATGCTTCGCCACTCATGCTTATTCAGCTGACCTCACACAGGCCTCACACCACATGTCCCTTCACACAAGTGTCTTTCTAACTTAAATCAGAATTCAAGGCACCAAATCTCAAAGCCCCAGTCACCCCGAACCCACACGGTCTATGCTCAGAGCAACCTGAAGACTTGATCGTTCTGGGAAAATGAATGTTAGGCTCCATATGGGTGAAGTGAAATCCATGTGAGTGCCAGATTCAGCCCAGAGGATCACCAACAAGTTACATTTCTGGTCTATATCACTCATATTGGTACTTAATTATATGGCCACCGACTATTGCTACTTTTTTGTTTAGTTTTTATTTCATAATCATAAACTTAACTTTGCAATCCTGCTAAACTTAGAGAGGAAGAAAGATAACATGGAACCCTAAGAACTATAGATAGAGCACACTGGAGCTAGCAGGCTGATCTCTGGAGCTACAGAAGGAATGGTCTGGTTATTAAGTTGTTTTTATATGCTGTAAGTCACCTGCAACTCACAGCGGTCCTATGCACAATAACTCTGAACCCTGCCATATTCTGAGCTAGTCTCCCTGTCCGACACACCTAATCCCATTATCTCAATTACTATGCCAGTCCACCTCATCCAACGTATTCCCCTCTCATGCTGTCCCTCCACCCTTTCCAAGCATGACGACCTTCTCCAAGGACTAGTCCCTCCTGGCCACATGCCTGAAATATTTGAGACGGTGATTAAGAGAAAACATGAAATACAGATCACATTAGAGTTGTCTATTGTCAGCAATGGTGAGCTTCTTGCTGGTCTTGTCATTCCTGAACCCAAAGCATTCTATGGCTTCCACAGTATTCATGCCTTCTTTCATCTTGCCAAAGACTACATGCTGCCACCCAACCATTCCGTTTTAGCAATACAGATAAAAAATGGGGAACCATTTGTATTGGGTCTAGGATTTGGCATGTATAGGCTGCCAGCACCTGTGTGCTTCAGATGAAGTTCTCATCAGTAAACTTCTCCCTGTAGATGGACTTGCCACCTGTACCATTATAGCATGTGAAGTCATCACCCTGGCACATAAACCCAAGAATGATTCTGTGAAAGCAGGAACCCGTGTAACCAAATTCTTTCTCCCCAGTACAAGTTTCCTGCTGTCTTTGGGGTTGAAGAAGACACGGCCTAGAGGTTTGCCATCAATGGCAATGTCAGAGTACACGGTGGGACTGACCATGATGGAGGAGAGTGGATGAGACTGCTGACTGAGGCAGAAGTATCTGCAATACCCCACAACTGCTACTTTATCATTTCTACTCAATTTATATCCTTGAATAGGTAATATGGTCACATGATAGAAAATTCCAAAACTGCAAAAAGGAAGCCCCAAACAAGTACATTTCCTTTTCTGCTCTGTCCTCTAGCCATCCATGTTCCTCCCTGGAAGTGACCATCTTCTAACTATCCATGCTGTGTTATAAGTCTCATAAGACACTTCAAGAGCAAGGATAATGAATGTGCTTCATGTGATAAATGCAAACCCTCAAGAAAAACCTCCAATCCTCATACCACATTCTTCTTCACATTGTCCAGCTTCCTGAATGATTTGCTCAGCATACAGACTAAACAGATGTGGAGAAATTATATAGCTCCTGATGCACATCTTTCTTGATTTTAAAACATGTAATGTTCCCTTGTTCTGTATGAATAACAGCTTCTTGGTTTACATGTAGATTTCACATGAGCACAATTAAGTATTCTGGGATTCCCGTTCTTCTCAATGTTTGCCATAATTTGTTATGATCCACACAATCAAATGTCTTTGCAAGTCAGTAAAAAAACAAAAGCAAAACAAAACACAGCTTTCAGCCAAGATTCATCTGACATCACCAATGATATCCCTCATGCCATAGCCTTTTCTGAATCCAGCTTGAATTTCTGTCAGGTCCCTGTCGATGCACTGTTCTGGTTGGGTATAAACACACACATTATGAGATATATACATATTTTCTCACAAATCTTTCTTATAAAGTAGAAAGATTATTATCCCATTTAATTGTTATAGAAGTGAGGACAGAGTTTTCAGAAAAGTTAAACAACTTGTTCTAAATCACACAACAACTAATGTGACAGAACCAAGATTGGAACCTTGGCCTCCTGGATCCAAAGCCAACGTCAACCACTTACTCTCTTATACCTACAAGATACCATATTCTTTTCCAATTACTCTAGTTTCTTGCATTTGAGCTCTTTTCCCTTTCTTTTATCTACCCACCCACTAAACACCAATACCAAGAAGATTCTGTCCACTCCATTTTTATTTTAAACTCTCTCCCTAGGAGACAGCACCTTCCCTGGCCTCAGCAAACATCTTCCTCTTTCACATGTCAATGACTTTCAAGTCTTCTTCTCTGGTCCAAATTTCTTTTTCTCAAGCTTCAAAAACATGTAGCCATTATTTCCTATACCTCTCCACTCCTGTGTTCTAGGAGTCCTGGTGAGATATCCTTGTTAAAGTGTTGGCTGCTAACCAAGACATTCGCAAACCTCCCACCTGCTCCTTAAGATGTGGAAGTCTGCTTCTATAAAGATCACAGCTTTAAACTTTATGGAAGCCTAAGTTTTATTATGGAAAACACTATGAGGCCATTCTTTTTTACTTAGTTCCACAATCAACACCCATGGTAGCAACAGTCAAGAAATCAAAGGACTTTTGCATTCAGCAAATCTCTGTAAAGTGTCAAGGACCCACTTTTAAGTGCCAAGGACTGTCAGTTTAAAGGCTAAATTGTCAGTTTAAAGGCTATGGTGTGCCTGATCCAAGGCATGTAACTTTAACTGTGTCATATGCATGTGAAAATTAGACAATGGATAAGGAAGATGGAAGAAGAATTGATGTCTTTGCATTGTGATGTTGGTGAAGAATACTGTATACAGCATAGACTACCAAAAGAACAAGCTAATCTGTCTTGAAAGAACTATAGCCAAATTGCTCCTTAGAAGCAAGGATAGTGAGAATTCGTCTCACATCCTTTGGGCATGTTTTCAGGAGGGACCAGTCAATGGAAAAGGACATCATGCTTGGAAAACTTGAGAGTCAGTGAAAAGAGAGGAAGACCTCTGTTGAGACAGACTGATACAGTGACTGTAACAATGGGCATATGTCCACTATCACCTCTCCTATTCACTATTGTATTGGAAGTTTTAGCGATAGCAGTAAGACAAGAGAAGGAAATAAAAGGTATCCAAATTGGCAAAGAGGAAGTAAAATTATCTCTCTATGCAGATGACATGATAGTATACTTAGAAAACCCTAAAGACTCAGCAAGAAAACTACTGGACATAGTTGACCAATTCAGCAAAGTAGCAGGATACAAGACCAACATACAAAAATCAGTTGGATTTCTGTACAGTGACAAAGAGAATACAGAGTTGGAGCTAAGAAAAACAATACCCTTCACAATAGCTAATCACAAGATTAAATACTTGGGAGTAAATCTAACCGGAAGCACAAAGGATCTATTCAAAGAAAATTACAAAACATTACTACAAGAAACAAAAAAGACCTGGAAAAGTGAAGAATATCCCTTGCTTATGGATAGGAAGACACAATACTGTGAAAATGGCAATAGTACCAAAGGCAATTTACATGTTCAACGCAATCCCAGTACAAATACCAATCCCATTCTTCAACGAGATGGAAAAGGTAATCTCCAGTTTCATTTGGAATGGAAAGAAGCCCCGAATAAGCAAAACACTCCTTAAAAATAGAAAAAAGGTAGGAGGCATCTCACTCCCTGATTTAAAATCCTACTACACTGCCTTGGTGGTTAAGACAGCAGGGTACTGGTACAATGACAGACACAAAGGAATAGAACTGAGAACCCGGAAATCAGCCCGTCTACCTATGGTCAACTGATTTTTGACAAGGAGACAAAATAAATTAAGTGGAGCAATGATAGCCTTTTTAACAAATGAAGTTGGCAAAATTGGAAAAATGTCTGCAGAAGACTCAAGCAAGATCCACACCTCACTCCATATACAAAAACCAACTCAAGGTGGATCATGGTCCTAGGACTAAAACCAAGGACTATAAGCTTCATTAAAGAAAAACTTGGACAAACCCTAGTAGTCCTAATCCACAACATAAACAGTCTTCCAAGTATCCTGAAAAATCTACAACCAGGAGAAAAAAAAAATAGATGACTGAGACCTTCTAAGACTCAAATCCCTATGCACATCCAAAAACTTCTCCAACAGGGTAAAAAGGGAAGTCACAGACTAGGAAAAAGTATTTGGTAATGACATGTCAGATAAGGGACTTAGATCTAGAATTTATAAAATACTTGAGAACCACAGCAAGATAAAGGTAAATAATCCAATTGAAAAATGGGCACAGGACATGAACAGACACTTCACCAAAGAAAACATTCAGATGGCCAACAAGCACATGAAGAAATGTTCAAAATCCCTAGCTCTAAGAGAAATGCAAATCAAAACAACTATGCGATATCATCTCACCCCAGTAAAAATAGCAAAATTTAACAGAACAGCAAGCAACAAATACTGGCAAGGAGTGGAGAAACTGGAATCCTCTTTCACTGTTGGTGGGAGTGTAAAATGGTGCAACCAATGTGGAAAGTGGTGTGGTGCTTTCTCAAAAAGTTGCAAACAGAGATTCTAAGAAAGGCATAGGATCAGTCAGGGTTTTGCTATATTGTAGAAAAAGTCACAAGGTGTTGGGGCCAATATGGTGGCACCTAAGAATAACCTAACAACAACAGGTACCTCTATCCCGCCTAACGGGCCACAATGAATCAAAATAAATAAACTGTATGGCTACAGGTATGTTCTAATGTCACTTTAAAATCAATAACTAAGAAGTTCAACAGTAAACACATCCTCTTCCTGACCAGTCCTGCAGTCTATCCAGCTCAAAGCTAGAAACCCAGACATCACCTTTGATACCTATCTTGTGCTACCATCCATGGGGACCCTGAATCACGTCCATTCTACTTTATTCTTTCTCCAATGCCATCTTCTCAACACCCGAATGTCTTTCTCCATGTACTGCATGGTCTTCTGTTTCTAATCCTGTCTCTCTGTAGTCTGCTACCAGAATCATCTTGCCAATCTTATCACTCTCCTGCTTGACTCTCCAAAGATTCTCAACTGCTCAAAGGAGTTGAGAGTCCCTTAACATGGTGAAGAATCCTTTCCCTGCAGCCCCTACAGCTCCTCCCTACCCTCCAAGTCACATCCACTCTGAAAGGGTTCATATCATACATGTACACATGCATGAGACGCTCATGCATGCACACATGCGCGCGCGCGCGCACACACACTCCCCCTTTTTACATTCTTTTTTCTTTCAAAACTCAGCTCAAGAAATTCTTTCTCCAAGAGCAGATCACTGATGTAGCCCAGTCTAGGTAAGAATCCCTTAATATGGATTCACTTGTGTACCCCCAAAACATGTGTTGTAATTCTAATGTCTATATACATAAATGTGGCCTAGACACACTGCTGGGATTGTATTTGGAAACAGGGGTCTCTGTTATGTTAAAGAGGCCCTATCAATGTAGACTATGTCCTACACCTAACTGCTTCTGAGTTAGGGGGAACAGCACAGACGCAGAGACAAGCAAGCACAAACAGCACAACTGTCAGGGAAAGGCAGCTGTCGGACCACGTGAAGATCCTGAGGGAACTGAGGAATGACAGAAGAGGCAAAGATCTTCCCCTAGAGCTGACAAAGAGAAAATGGTCCCCTGATTTTAGGATTCTGGCCTCCTGAACAAAAAGAAAATAAAATTTCTGATTTTTTAAATTCACTCACTTGTAGTTATTTATGCTACAACAGCACAAGAAATTAAGAGACTAAACAAAACAAAAAAAAACCTAAGATACCCTCTTCTTTAAGCTTTCATGGTACCTCCTGATTGGCACTATCCTAAAGAGGCCACCCCTATATTAACAAATATTTATTATTTATTGTTCTTTCAGTGCAGTGAAGGATTCTCAAGTCAGCCTGGGTCACCTCTTGCTCACCTTTGCATCCCCAGCACCTTGTATGGGACCTAGGAAGAAGTAGGTGCTCAATCCACGCTCACTGAACCAAAAGAAAATATTTTGAGAACTGGAGAAAAATTTTTGAAACAGCCCAAGTAATAAAAGTAATGTTAATCGTGGACCCTGCAAGTTGGGCAGATGGTATGTTAATTTTTCTATACGTCTGGAAATAATGATAACAAAAAGGCTTTTGTTGGTTTGAGGGTTTTTTCCCCCTAGGTAGGAGAATAACATAAATATAAGGTCTAAATTGTAAATTAATGAAAATGAAAATCATGAGAAGTTAAATCATCCAAAAGAGTATCAGTGAAAACAAAGGGAAAGACAAATCATCTCAGTCTCCTCGCTGGAGTCTCCCTCTTTGGCCATTTCCCTTCCCTACCTGTTCCCTCCTGTCCTGCTGACTCCTTCATCTGTACACACATATACACCCTCAACAGCACCAGCACAACCACCCTGGCCAAGCCTGGAGATTGCAGAAAGCTCTTCTTACCTGAGGGATCATCAGAGGTGGAGCCCACATTGATTTGGACAGTTTCCAATGGGGATATTGGATCATCTCCCAGGAGGCAAAATGGGGGTGAAAAGGACTCTGTCTTCACATTCAGAACCTGCTCTATACCAGGGGCCTGGTCAGACTGACAATGGGGAAGGAGGCAGAAGGAGGTGGGAAGCAAGAGATGTGATGAAAGCAGGCCTTACAAAGCACTAATTCTAAAAAAAAAAAAACAAAACCCCAAAGCACTAATTCTTTGATTTAATTAATTCTGGCCTGAATAGTACTGCAGATCTCTCTTAGCTAGCTCTAACCCCTTATTCCCTCTTAGGACTTTATCTGTGGGAGAGCTGAAATCACAAGATTTCTAACACTGCCTTGGAGTAGGCACTCTGGTAAGAATTTTCAGCAAGTAAAACAATCTCTTCTTTCCAGCCCTATCACTACTAGTCATATTTCTATATATTAAAAACACTATCTTCACTTTTAGGAAGGGTGGCGAGCCAGGCATATCGAAACCACATAAGCAAGAAAGTTATCCCTCCTCCCAGGACTCACAGCACAAAAAATCATTTCATCAGCACCTCCTGAATGAGGAGAACGAAACAGAATCCCTGTCACAGAGAGCAGGTGGAAGGACATGACTCTCTCACCTGATTGAAGGGCTCTGTAGAAAGATGTGATGATTCAGAACTAAAGGAGGAGGAAGAGCAGGGAGAGGATGGTTCAGACTTCACCTGAAGATCTGGAAGAAAAGGGGTTAGAATAATAACCAGGAAGCAAAGGCTGAGTTCAAAAATGAATTCAAGAGCATGGAGGTGGGAGGTGTTGGGAATTCTCCAGTAGGGAAAGGGAGGGGGAAAAACCCACAAGCGATTTAAAGTGGAGAAGAGTGCACAGGCAATTATGTAGAGGTTTTGTGAAAATACAGAGAAATACATATTTCATAGTTCCTAGGAAACAGTGGGAAGATGAAGGTTTCTGAAAGGAGAGGGAACCACAAAGGATGTCTTACCTGGGAATATAGGCAAAGGGTCCCATGGAGGTTCAGGGGGGCTGGCATCCATTCCCAGATCCAAAGAGCTGCTGTCAAACTAAATTTAGGGAAAGAAACAGAGGCAGACATGTAAGAGTGGTTCAAGATGATTTTCAACTCTGGGATAAGTCCTGATTTGGGGACCAGTCCTGATGGGGTGGTGTAAGTTCAGAATTCTCTAAATATAGTATCAGTCATAAAACTATAGTTACAAAACTGACATCAGTTTTCTCTAGCCTGCAAAACTAGTTACCTTGTCTTAGAATTCTGTCTCCTTTCTTTAGCAAGAGTTCAAACTGTCTATCAGGAGAGGAAATGCATCTTTCCTAGATTAGCATTTACCTCTTTAAAGCTGTTTTCCCCAGTCATATGTAAATTGTCTCTTAATCTGCCTGTTTATCAGGAAGGGAAATGTGCCTTTCCTGAATTACTAGTACTTATATATAAACTGTTCCTTTCAAATGTAGACATTCTGTAACTTTACCAACAAAAGTTTATTGTTAAGTGACTATCCCAAGCATAGAGACCTAATGATCACTCCCAGTTTTTGACAGGAACTCGCTGTCCTCCTAGATCTGTAATATTGTAATCCATCTGTCTTACTGGCGGTTGATATTGTAATCCATCTGTCTTATTGGCAACTGACCACGGAAAGAACCCTTTGGTTCAGTAACACTCCCACCCACCAAGGGTTAAGAGACAAGGCTGAGGAAGTAATACCGGAACATCATGCTCTGGACAACGAAAGAGTTGCGTCTGCTCCTCAGCCACTTCATCCAGGCCAGTATAGAGAGCACAGTCTGCAAAGAGTGAGAAGGAGCCCTCAGGTGGCTCAGTGTACTGATCTGACACAAGCCCCGGCCACGGCCCTCATTGGCTTGAAAAAGTGATATGGCCACTTGAAATGTGATACTGTTAAAGAAATTCTGCCCCTCCTTCCCGACTCCGAACAATTCAATGTTCCTGCAACGAGCAGAGGTCTTCCCTGACTCACACGGCTCCCGGAAACACGGCGAGCCCCCCTGCTCCGCCCTCCCTCAGAAAGAGGATTCCTAAATGCCAGCCTTCCTCTTTGGGCCTCCGATTGCTCCCTGCATGCCTCAGTTTGCCACCGCCCCCTTTCCCTCCCCCAGGCCTCACTTCGAAGATCCCAATCCTCCTGGCTCAGTAGGTTATTCGTGAAAAAACGAGTAGGATCTGCAATCTCGCTGAAGAGCATTAGTTCCTCCATCTTTTGCCCCCACCCCCCACTAGCCAGGAGACGGTTCCCAAGACCCGCCTTTCGCCATCGTCAACTAATCAGTTGACTCTTGGAAAAAAAAGGAGGCGTCCCGAAACTTCTACTGACCAGTAAGAGACCGGGGTGCTGAGCACATGGATCAATAAAAGCGATGACTGTATAACCCTGGCCAATGAAAGCACGGCAGAAAATTGTACCCGGCTGTGAAACTTGCGCATGCGCGAAACTCGTTTCCAGAGTCAAGGAGCTTCTTGGAAAATGTAGTTTATAACATTTAACTCCCTTCCATCCCCCTCAGTCGTTCTTAAATTGTTAAATTCATACAGCAGCTCGAGGGTGAGGAGAGCTCTGGTGGCATTATTCGTAGGGAGCTGTTTGGCTAACCTAAAGCAGCGTCTCCTTGGCAGTTCGAATCCGCCAGCAGCTCTGGGAGAAATTTTGGGCAATCTCTTCCCTTGCATTAAGATTTACACCCTGGGAAAATCGATGGAGTGTCGTTTCTGACTGAACTAGAAATGAGACCAAGCTGGTAAGAGGTGAAAAAGCTTCCCTAAAATGAAGTACATGTAACTATATGAAAATGTTGAAAGGTGGCCCAGTGAGACCACTGCTTCCTCTTCTAGGAAGGCAAAAGCAGAAAATGGGATATGGGGTGAGACCTTTCCTCTTGACCCTCCCCCCCAAAGTTTCACAGCACACACCACAAATCACAGGTTTCTGACTCTTTTAAAAGGGTGATCTTTTAATCAGCCAAACATCTTTCGTAAGCTCTGAGCCAGCCCAGCATCCTGTTTCTTCCCCTGAATGACCACCTTCCGCAGTTCCTCTTGAGCTGCCCGGTTCTTTGGGTCTATGGCCAGCACCTTCTTGAGGTCATCAGTTGCTTTTTCCAGGTTCCCAAGGGCAGCATGGGCAACTCCCCTTCGGTACAAGGCCTTCAAATGGCAAGGCTCTCGTTCCAGCACCCTGTCACAGCTCTGGGCTGCCAACTGGGGTTGCCCTAGAAGCAGCTGACATGCAGCCAGATTGGCATGGAGAGTAGTTCGTTCTGGAGGGCCAGGTGGGGGTAAGGTCAGCAACAGTCGGAGGGCCTGCCCATAGCATCGGGCAGCCCCTTCAGGGTTGCCAGCCTGAAATAATTCTGTACCCCTAGCACGTTCCTCCCTGGCCAAGGCCTCCTTCTCGCTGGCCTCCAGCTCCCAGGAGTCCCGGCCAGGAGTGAAGGAAGCCAGTGTGAGCCTGATAGGAGGTCCAGAGTTCCCAGGGAGCTGAAGCTCTGCCTCCTCGTCTTGACACATCGATTCCAAACATTTTTCTAAGAGCTCTCCCCAAGTTCCCACCCTCCATGGACCTACCCCTAAAGTTAGGTCAGTCCAGCCCTCTGGCAGTCCTGATCCAAAAGGAAACCCTGAAACCTGTACCCTGCAGCGGGAGCCCAGTTTAGGTTTATCCAAGCCTTGGCCACAAGTTACTATCTTCTTGATAAAGCTCCCATCAGGACAATACCAGAGATCGGAGGCTTGATGGGGCTCTGGCAGCTCACTGGGTGATTCATGAGACTTAACAGAGTCTCTTTCCAGCCCAGCGGCCAGTTTTTCAATCTCCTGAGGATTCTCTAGAATTTGACAGGCTGAACCTAGGCTTCCGTCCAGTTCAAGAATCTCAGTAGGAGGGTCTTTGAGCTCCTGCCTAATCTGAGTTCTTGAATCATTATTCTCCTGGGAGTTCGTTTTCCATTGTTGTTGCGGTCGAGAGGTGTTCTTCTCTCCTGTAGGACTGTCAGGTGGCATCTCCATTTGACAGTTTAGTTCCTTTCACCATAAGGGAGGGTAGTTTGAGTGGAAGAAGGTGGGGCTAGATTCAGGTCAGCATCTGAAAAGAAAATCAAAACAGTGCTAACTGCAGGATTCTTATTTAGATTATTCTCTCTTTTATCCTTCGGAAAACCAGGGCTCCGGTCCTTAAAATCCCCAATTCCCTTTATTCTTCAATTTGGACTACTCGGCTCGGCTCGAGCCTCCCTCACACACCGACCTAATCTAAAACTATAAATTCCACAATTCCTCACGATTCAAGTAACTGCCCTTACTACGGAAAGACAATCGGCTCAAAAAGCTCGCAAGAGGCCGAAACGCCTACCCTGTCGTCAATACTCAGATTATTTGACGTATGTCTCCTTCCGAAGCTAAGTAAACACCGAGTATGATCCTCTGTCTTACCCTAAGCCGAAAGGTCGGCCCTGGAGATCACGGAGAGGCAGAGCCAAAAGAAACAGCTGTCAGGGCCTGCAAGAACGCGAATCATGTCAAATTCCAGGCTGCCTATTGGGAGGAGGGAGGAGTCTGGTTACTCCGCCCATAGTACATGACATCAGTTCCCCTTTAACCGGGAACCGGTCTAGGACTACTCTGGTGCGGATGGCTCTGTTGTTTTTAGTCGAACTATGAAAAAGTTCCGGAAAGGGAGACTTAGGAGAATGAAAGTGGAGCGGAGGATGACGGACGTGGTGGTCAATGATAGTGGATGCAAATCAATTCTTTTTATCTGGCAGACCTTAGGCCCACCTGTACTCATCATGTTATAAGCACCAATGCCCCTGTCACAAATAATCATTAATGCATCTTGATTGCTTATTTAGTCAATTTCACACTGCAAAATTTTATTAAAATCTTCAATTTCCTGCTCTTTGGTTTTAGCTATTGGTGCATATGCTTGAATAATAGTTGTATTAACAGGTGTTCCTTGTATGCTATCCCACCAAAACATAGTACTTATGGATAGAATTTGAGATTGTCTTTTTATCTGTGAACGCAACACCATTCTTCCTCTGTTTTTTATTCCCGACATAGTATACTATGTCTGATTCAAAGTGGCTACGGTCAATCCATCTCATCTCACTAATGTTTAGGATGTTAATGCATTCCATTTTATTTTTCACAACTTCTAATTTTCCAACATTGATACTTCTTGCATCCTATATTCTAACTATTGAATGATGTTTGCAGCTGTTTCTCATTTTGATTCCCTTCCAATCTGGGCTCTACCTCTAACAGTATAACCCTGTTTCTCTATTATTCATAGAGGTTTCAGCCTTGCTATTACAGAAGTGGATGGCCAATCCTTCTTCTTAGTGTGTCTTAATCTGGGAGCTATACTAAAACCTGTCCAATATGGATGACCCCTCTGGGATCTGATAAACTGGTGATAATAGCCTTTAGCATCACAGCACCCACAACTTATCTCAGTACAGCAAAGTGACAGACAAGTGCTATACTAATTAGAACAATGATAAAAAAGCAAGAGTGCAGATACACAAGTTACAAAGTAATTAGCAATATATAGACCATTCTCTTCCAAAACAACAAATTGACATATAAGTCTCACAGTTTAGAAGGCTCCAAGTCCAAATCCCATGTACTAGCTCTAGGGAAGATTTTCTCTCTTTGGCAGTTCTGGAGGAAGGTCCTTGTCTCAGAGCTTCTGCTCCTGGACCATCTTCGCATGGCTTAGTGTCTCTTTTATCTGAGGTGCACGGCTGCTGGCACAGCAGGATAATATCCCAGGTGAAGATGATCTCTCAGTGGGAACTGGTACGCTGGTGCTCCTCCCTGGCCCTCTGGCCCAAAGCTCGAGTGGAAAATCCTTTCTTCCTTGCTGCTGACAGCTTGCTTGTTGTAAGCCCAGTAGCTGTTAGCAAAACCAAGAACTGCTTCTAGAAGCTGTTGTGCAAACAGAGCAAGGGAACACTGCTGTTAGGTGCCATCAAGTAGAGTACACTCATAGTGACCCTATGAACAAAAGACCTGACCTCTGTTCTATCCTGCACCATCTTCACACTTCCTGACACACGAGCACGAGATCCCACTGTAGAAGTCACCATGTCAATCCACCTGGGTAAGGGTCTTCCTCTCCTATGCCGAACATCTACCCTTCTAAGCATCATGTCTTTCTTCAAGGAATACCACCTCCTAGCAACATGCCCTCATCATTCTTGCCTCCAAAGAGCACTCTGGCTGTACCCTCTCCAAAACTTATCTGTTTATTCTCTTGGCTGTTCTTAGGATGGTCACTGTTCTTCTCCAAAACTACAGCTCAAAGGCATCAATTATTTTTCTGTTGTCTTTATTCATTGGGAACATTATATTGTTTAAAACTAATAAAGGCATACATCAGGATTGTATCCTTTCTCCATACCAATACAATCTGTTTGCTGAGCAAATTATTCGAGAAGCTGAACACTATGAAGAAGAATGTGGCATCAGGATGAGAGGAGGAAGATTCATTAATAACCTTTAGTATGCAGATGATAAAATCTTGCTTGCTGAAAGTGACATAGACTTGAAATACTTGCCGCAGGAGATCAAACGCTACAGCTTTTAATATAAATTGTATTTCAATGTCAAGAAAACAAAAAATTGGGGGAACGCCGCTGCCGCCGCCGCCAGACCGGGGAACGCCACCGCCAGACCGGGGAACGCTGCCGCCAGACCGGGGAACGCCGCCGCCAGACGGGGGAACGCCGCTAGAGGGACCTGGAAGAGACCCGGGAAGAACAACAGCCAGCCACCTACCTCAGAACTCCAGAGGAACGAAGACTACCAGACACTGTGTGACCCCACCTGCAACCCACACCTGTGTGACCCTTAACACACAGGGTGCTGCTGCATAAACCCCCAGCAGCGCCCAAGCCCCATCCCGACCTCTTGGTGATAGTGTCCAACACCTGCGCTTCCTGCCGCCTAGTCCCATGCTTTCCTCCCCTTCCCCCACCCCCCTTGCAGCTCCACAACCACACATCTCAACCCCCACCAGAGACCTGTGACCTCAGGGCACCACCTTGGATCCAGACATCACCCGGAGCTATCAGGCAAGCTGATGAGGAACTAACCTGGCAGGAGAAAGGCCGGTAGGATCTTATCTGTGTTTA